GCAGTATTTATAGCCGGCATGCCCCCTGCCGCGACGATTCCTGTTTACAGCCCTATTTAGACCTGGGCGGCACTTGCGGGGGGTGATGTCAGAGCGACGGGCACGCAGGGGCCAGGGGGGTGGCTAATTCATTAGAAATGTTGCTTACTCTCTGGGACAGGGCACAGGCTCTGGCAGGCAGCCTGGTGAAGGCAGCGTAGGGTTTTTCTTTCTTTTGCTTGTCCCCCATCTCCCTAGGCACCTTTCCAGCCCCGCGAGGCAGGATCCGCTGGGGAGGAGGTCTCGGAGCTGGCGATGGCTTCAGCCCCTCCTGGTGAGTGCCTCTGTTGTATCCCACACGCCCCAGGCTGCTGCCAAACGGCTGCACCACTTCATTTTCCCTCCCATTCAATGTCTCTGCATGCATGCAAGGAACAGGCACTGTCCCTGCCCTGCCTGTCCTTGCAGAGCAGTGTCCTATGGGGTTGTCACCTCCCTCGCTAACATCAGTGCCTGGTGTCTCCGCCAGGCACTGCAGCCTCCTCCGGAGCCCCAGGGCCCCCTTGCTCTGGCGGGTTGGGCCCCAAAACACACGGCAAGGATGTTTCTCCTCGGGTGATTCCTTCACCCTTCTTCCACAGGGCTCAGAGTTCTGCTCCTGAGTTTTGCGCCAGCCCCTTCAGTCAACTAAAAGGTGAAGGTTGCCCTCAGAAAATGTGCACGAGCCCCTGGTTGCGCTTGGACGTGGCACCACCTCGATGTTTCCCCAGCCAGCATGAGTTGGTGCCGGGGGGAGCAGCCTCCATCCTGGCATCCTGGCAACCTGATGGTGCTCCTGCGCGCGGGGCTGACTCACCTGGCGCTCACTCCACACCCTTGTCTCTTGCCGCTGGCAGCAGCCCTGGGAAGGGGCTCAGCTCCCAAACCGCTCGGCAGGCTGCAGGGAGCCAGCTCTCCCCCTCCCAACAGGCTGCGACACCTTCTCCTTTGCCCCAAAAAGCGGTGGAGCCTCTCACAGTTGAGCAGGGGCTTATAAATAGACTGGTGGTGGTTGTGAAATGGCCTTGTCTGCTTGAGTCACTGAGACGCTGCCTGTAAGAGCCATTGCATAAGGCCAGAGTGTTCCCAGTGGCCGCATGGACCCCGCCACCCTGGAGCAAGGCCTCCCTCAGCACTGGGGCATGACGTAGCAGCGGGCTGGGCACTCCCGGCCCCGCAGCTCCTGCTGCACCACTCTCTGCATGGTTTTGCATAAGAAACACGCGACTCAACTTTACAGCTTCGTATTCAGGGCCGTTGCTCTTCCTGACAATCTCCGGTGCCCGAGGTGATTCCCTGCAGGATGCACAATTTCCCACCCGCTGGCAGTGTGCAGGACCCAGCACGTGACTCTCGATGTTTTCTCCTTCCTTCCTTCTCACCGCTCGGCAGCTCCATTGAACTCCAGGCCAGGCCTGGCCCTTGGGCTGTACAGGACCCTTCCTCCTGCCAGCGGGGTGATTTTCTTGCCTACGTTTCTTTTAATCCGTCAAAACCATGGAGAAACTTTGGAAGACCTTTTTTTTTTTTTTTTTTTCCCTGTGTAAAAGGTGCTAACTATCAGCCTGGAGGGTTGCGTTACCCGTGCAGGCTGTGCCCACCCTCAGCAGTGCCAGTCCATGGCTGGAGGTGACTCGCTGCGATGGAGCTGGCAACACTGGAGGTGCCATGGCAGCAAAGCCTCGGCACGCGAGACGCGCAGCTGCTGGCCATGCTGCTCCCCGTCCGCACGGCCACGAGCTACTCAAAGGCACCTCGGTGGTACCTTTGGGGGAGCAGCCAACAGGCAGGCTCCAAAAGCTGCCAGCTGTGGCGAGTGCAAACCGTACCGCACATCGGGAATAAAAGCCCTTGCAGAGAGGGGCACCCCACGGGGCAGAGGGGCTGGGGCGGTAGGGACGCCTCCACCCCGAGATGCCGGAGAGGGACCAAGGCTCGAGGCGAGTCTGCAGTGACGGGGTGGAGCAGTGGCCACTTCCTGCGGCTGGGCGCGG